GGAAAAAAGTATTCTGTGGCAAAGGAAGCAATTTGGGACCTTTAAGAATAAGCTGCATACATTAGAGTTTAAGATTCCAAAAGAAGTTAATATACTTTATAGGGGAAAGCCATTAACAAAGGAATCACGTAGAGTTTAATTTATGGTTATATTCTGAAGAATAACCTTTTATTTTTAAGGAAGTAAAACTTGAATGGTCCATGATTTGTTTATATATAGCTAAACAGTTCTATTGTAAAATATCTTTAATTTCTTGTTTTAAAAATAGATTTCCATTAATTTTTAGCCACTAATGACAAAAAGTTGGGGAGGGAACTATATTAATTCCAAGATACCAATGAATAAAACTAAGTCTATTAATGTGGCTTCCCTCCCCTGAGAAGTTCACTTTAGTTACTTTACTATTCATTGCAGATATATTTGGTTAGAATACTGCTGTGGTTGTTTACCATTTTTGTTTATATTTATCATTTGATAAATGTGAGAACACATACAGTTTGATTAGAATTTTATTAGATTAACACATGTAAAGTAGGCTGACATGTATTAAAAGCAACTAGAAACTGTTGTGGGAATAAATAGGTATAACAGTAGTCTTGAGTGACATTACTTTTGGACATTCTTCATAAATAACCCCAAACGTTTACCAACATGCATATTTTTAAAAATCATTACCCCTTTCCATAGAGGTATATTATGCTGTGAATTACATGAGATCAGCATTTTTCACCCCTTCTCTGACATAAGTCGTTATTTTCTCAGAGCAAATAGGTGAATGATTCTTCCTGAGGCCATGCTATCAGAATGATCCAGGGCTAATTTTTAACTTGAAGCCAGGCCTGCAGGTTGCTTATTTCTTACTACTCAGCTGGAGTGTGTCAAGGCCCTCAAATTAATTTATAAGCTAAGTAAAATATTTTCAGAGAGGTCAATACATTGTGTAGGGAGAGAAAATCATGTGACCCATAGCTGAATGGGAATGCTGATAATCTATGTTATTTGGACAATTTAATCAGCTCTAACCCAGGAGCTGATAGTTGAGGCTATGGATATTTATGCTTTACTCTTTCCAGTTTCATTAGAAATTAAATTAATCTCATAATACAAGTAAACCTGGAGGACATAATGTGATTCTTAGGTACTATACTAATGAAGGCGTGAATTCTTTGTATCAATAGTTTGAGTTAATCAGGATGTCTCTCTCCCTTGCTCATTTGATATTTATAAAAAACTAATATGATATTTCCAAATATTGATCAAGTTTTCAAGGAATGATTACTGTGTTTACTATACCAGTTTAGAAGGCAACCAGTTGTATAATCTTTTTTGTTGTAAAGGATTTTTTTTTATTATTATTATTTTTTTTTTTTTTTTGCGGTACGCGGGCCTCTCACTGTTGTGGCCTCTCCCGTTGCAGAGCACAGGGTCCGGACGCACAGGCTCAGCGGCCATGGCTCACGGGCCCAGCCGCTCCGCAGCACGTGGGATCTTCGCGGACCGGGGCACGAACCCGAGTCCCCTGCATCGGCAGGCGGACTCTCAACCACTGTGCCACCAGGGAAGCCCTGTAAAGGATTTTTAAACAGAATTTTTCTGTTAACCCTAAGTGAATGGAGGGAACTTTCCCTTCTCCCACTCGCCAAACAAACAAATATTAATGTAGTAGCTGCTGTTTATTGACACCTTTCTCTGTGCCAGGTGCTAGGTCAAGTGCTTTGTACACTTTGCCTCGTTCAGTCATCCTAATAACCCGGTAATGTGGGTATTTTATTTGCATTTTAAATGGGCAGCCTGTTGTAGAGTTTAAATTACTGCCCAGGACCACATAGCTACTTAAGTGTCTCGCTCAAACAGATGTCAGATTGACCTCACTGGGTTACCCTGCCTTTCCGAGGAAGCGAGGCGTGTGCGTGGATAAATCTACACTGAGTGAGGGGAGGTGATGGGGGAGGGGAGGCGGGGCGTGTTCATGCGTTTTTTTCAAACCAGAGTGTTTGGAAGAGATCTCTCTTTGAACCGAATTTCTTCATTAGCGAATTCCACCTGCTCAGTGAGATATAAACCTATTTCACACGTGCAGAGGTGTGTGTATGTGCACACACACCCTCTCTCTCTGTGACCTGAGGACACCAAGTGATTTTTCAATGTTTTATCAGCGATCCTAGAAGCAAGGTTGGCATGAAAATGAAAGCAGACTTTGGGTTCATGCAGTGATTGAACGTAAGGTTTTGTCTTCTGAAAGTAACACTTACATCACAACATAGAGACACACTTGGGTTTTCTAATCAACATTACTAGAAAAAAAAAAAAATGTTAACATTTTAAGGAGGTGCTGAGAATTGGCGAAGCCTTTAAATAATCATAGTGGTGAATTCTTCAGTCTGAGTGTTGTTGAAATTCTCAAGTGATCTTCCAGTCATGTGTTCTGAAATGCCTCATAATGCCATGTGTAGTATTTCATTAAAGAACTGAGTTCAAGGACAGTGTGAAATGGTCTTTGAAAGAGCCTTCACAAAGAGAGAAGAAAGGAATATTTTTGGCTTTAAGAATTTTTGAAGGAAAGAACACATTTCTCTGAAAGTTTAAAAGTGAGAAATAAAAGTCTTCTTAGTGATAAAGTATAATAATAATAACACTGTTGGTGCCCTGTTTTACACATGAGGAAACTGAGGTATGAAGAGAGGTTAAATAACTTGCCCAACGTTACAGGGCTGCTGAGTGACAGCCATGACTGAAGCCCAGGCAGCCTAGTTCTAGAATCCACGTGCTTGACCATTTTGCTATTTTGCTATCAAAAGACAAGTGAGATTTAAGATGGAAATTCCGGGTTGCTTTTGGAATTAGTTGAACTTGGTTAGCTTCTAGCAAGTGTTTAGTGTTGCTTCTGAAACGGTTCCTTTAACTCAAAGGCTGTTTCCTTGAGATCCCTGGGATTTTGTAGATGAAAACTGTCACCAAGCTACCAGCTTCTTGTGACGTGTGAGGTTGTTTAAAGGTTCTGCTTAACTCGATGTTACTTCAGTGCATTTGAGGTCAGAAAGAGCCGTATAGGGACAGGGTATGGAGCTTGAAATAGAGCAAGTTCTAGCATTTTGGTTATGTAAGCTGGAAATGAAAATATGTTATCATAAATTAAAATTAAAAACTGGGCTGTAGTAAAGTCAATCCATTCTCTCCTCATTTTGCTGTGCCTTGAAGTTCACACGAATATGAAATTGTTACTTTATCAATTAGACCAAAAAAAACTTCCTTTTTAATACAGGACGTAGTAGAATTGTATTGATAAATACTAATACAGTTGAATATTTGGGGGTTCTTTGTCAGTAGGGTAGGAAAGTTTGGGGATTTTATATCCTGAGTGCTGTGTTGAAGCTAGTCTTTCCTTAGCTGTCAGACAATGAGGAAAAAAACTTGATTCCTATGGAAAGGTTCTTAAGAATAAAAATAAAGGGCAGCTTTCAGTGTGCATTTCTTAGCAACACACACTTCCTGTAGCTGAGTGAGTGTCTTGTTAGCCTTTATGTCTTATTGTTGGAAATACATATTTAATATTTTATAGCATTTTTACCTTTCCTATTGTTGACATGGAGGCCTGAAATTTTTTCTGGACCCATTTCTTAAACTCATCTTTAAAAACTTAGAAAAGATGGTAGAAAGCATATGTAAGAGAAACATAGTTTGAAATGAAAATCTGCAGTTTTATGAATGTATTAATAACTCCATTCCCGTTCATATACTAACTTTTATAATATAAACCTTTCTATTTATGCTTCTTGAAGCCATCTTGATTTCCTGCTGTCCACCTGGACACAAGGATACCAACTTGGGAAGAAACCATATCACATATCTTTTATAGCATAATAAAACATTATTTGAACCTCATACTAAAGATAGGTATGCATATTTATAATAGTCATTTAAAATCCTAAAACTTTTTATATGTTATCTTTTGTAATATATAATGTTTTTAATATTTGGAGATCAATTTTCAAAACTTCAGGAACAACAGTGTACAGCTGGATTAATTTTGAATATATTTTTCTCCTTTAGTATTTATTAATTTGATTAGGAGATAAATAATCATCATTAAAATTAGCATTCCAGGGCTTCCCTGGTGGCGCAGTGGTTAAGAATCCACCTGCCAATGCAGGGGACACGGGTTCAAGCCCTGGTCCAGGAAGATCCCACATGCCACAGAGCAACTAAGCCCGTGCGCCACAACTGCTGAGCCTGCGCTCTAGAGCCCGCGAGCCACAACTACTGAAGCCCACGCGCCTAGAGCCCGTGCTCCGCAACAAGAGCAGCCACCGCAGTGAGAAGCCCACGCACCGCAACGAGAGAAAGCCCGCGAGCAGCAACAAAGACCCCGTGCATCCAAAAATTAAATAAATAAATAAATAAATTTATTTATTTTTTTTAAAAAAATTAGCATTCCAACTTCCTGTGTTTTTCATAATTTAATTCTTTTAACTTAGTCAATTAATGTTATGAGCTTTGCTGTGACAAGCGTCAGTTAATTAAAAGAAAAATATAGGAAGGAATAACTGGTTAATTCTTAAGTTCCTTTTGAGAATTATTTACTTTGTGGTTCAGATTTGTGTCTGAATTGGCTTTTCTTAGTCACTCAGCACCAGGCTACTTTGGCCCCATAATTCAAATTTGTGTGTGTGTGTGTGTGTGTGTGTGTGTGTGTATGTATATAATATATATATATGTATACATACAAATGTGTATATGATGAGTATGCCTAGAAGTACAAATCTTTGATAAAATGAGTTATCAATTTTGAAATCCTTGCTTACTGTGTGGATAACAAAATCTGTCATTCCAAATTAGTGTGCATAGTCGAGCACTGACCATGTTACTTTCATTGATCAGCCAGAATTAATGGAGAGCAGAATTTGTATGTTCCACAGTACTAGACATGATTGTAGTTTCAGAACCAAACTTCTGAAGTCTTGTGATCTGGTGGGAAGATTATACCTGAATCATAGATGAATACTGGGCCTAAGGATTTGGGGTTGGGGTGGGGGAATTCGAAATTATCTTTAGTTGCTTTTAGTCATTTCTGTGATCTCGTCCACTGAAATTATAAACTGATCTTCTAAATCTTTTCTGTAGGAAATTTTGGGAGCGGTTTATTGCCCTGTGTCATGAAAATAATAGCCTACATGGAATCACTTTTGAACAGATCAAAGCGCAGCTAGAGGCTTTAGAACTAAAGAAGACATATGTGTTGAATCCACTGGCACCTGAATTTATCCCCCGGGCTCTGAGAGTGCAGCACACGGGAAATACCAACAGATTGCAGCAGTCACCCCCCAAGGTAAAGCCTGTCAGTGAAATTGAAGAGGTTAAAGAGAGAACAGTGCAGAGACGTCAGCGCTTTCTTGGGCTGCAGGTTACTTTACGTGTTGGAATTGAAGGTTACATTTGACGGCAACCAGTTTCTGCAAGGAACTCGTCCAGTGTGGATATTAATTGAAAATACAGTGTAGTGTTTAGCCATGCTGCTTAATGGCATAAATCATCCTCAAAAAGTTTTCAAGGGGACTTCCCTGCAGTCCATGGGTAAGACTTCACCTTCCAATGCAGGGGGTGCAGGTTTGATCCCTAGTCGGGGAGCTAAGATCCCACGTGCCTCACAGCCAAAAAAACCAAAACATAAAAAAACAGAAGCAATATATTGTAACAAATTCAATAAAGACTTCAAAAATGGTCCACATCAAAAAAATCTTAAAAAAAAAAAAGTTTCCAGGTACCTGATTAGGTCTGGTGCCCTTTGTAAATAATATAACCTCCCGGTCCTCTCTACTGATAGACTTATTTTAGCAAGATGTGAATAAAACAAAGCAGTTTAAAAGACCGCCACACATATTAAAAGCATGCTCTTATAGAATATTATATAGCATGCTCTTATAGCATATTTTTTATAAGGAATAATATAATAGCAATATTTGTATAAAGAAAACAGTTCTAACCTCTTGTTGATGACCAGTTCGAGTGGTATTTGGCACAGAAAATTCGGCTGACTGCTTGAAGGTTACTTTAATCGACTGACCAGTGTTTGTTATGTAAGAAGTAGAGTCTAGTCATTGGGGTGGGATGGGATGGGGGGGAATCAAGGCCCCCATGTCTACTTTTGAACTATTGTTATTTTGGTCAGAAACAGCTGGTTTCTTTGCTAGACTGCCTGAAAGAAAAAATGCTTGCACTTACCATCTAGAAAAGAAAGTTATGAGAGTGGCATGTTTAGTATTTGTTCTGGTTTTTGGGTGTATTTATAGTCATCAGCATGATATTAAACTTACTGACATGAATTAAGAGAGTATGCCAGTTTGGGGCTTCATTTTAAAAATGTAAAGCTTAATGTGTAAGAAATAATTATTGCTTTAATATCTTGAAGAACTTTTAGCTGAGTAAATATTAAACTGAGACGAGAACTGCTTTCTGTTTTAATGTACTGTTGTCTGCGTTTAATAAAAATGGACCTGATATACAATAATGCTTTAGTGACTTGGAATTAAGCAGATTAAGCATTTTGCATAACTGAATCCTCTAGATTTCTAAAGTTTAAACTATTGATAAATGAATAATCAACTTATTTATCAAATAGTTAAGTTTCTTCTATGTGACAGCTGTTACGGTAGGTAATAGAGAAGCAGATTAGCCCCAGTGTTCTTGCGGCAGATGTTGGAGGGTAACGGTCAGAGGACGTACCACTGCACCACACTGGAGATTTCGGGGTAATTTCACCGAGTGGATGGAGTGAGTGGGAGATTGGGAAGACTGTCAGAAACTAGAACAGAAACTCCCTTAGGGCAGAGATTTTTGCCTGTATTATTTGCTGCTCTAGCCTCTGTGCCTAGAACAACATCTGGCTTATCACAGGTGCTTAGAAGTGTTTTTAAGATTAATGAGTGAAGCTTAACAAAGAGCTCATACGAAAAGCGAGAGGTGTGAGAGAGCAGGCTCTCCAGGGAACAGCAAGTAGCTTAAAGTAGGTGAAGAGTGGGAACCCAGTTAGAAACTTTTAAATTTTATTGTTTTTTATTTAAATGTTTCAGAGACATTATGCCTTTTGCACATTCTTAAATACAATAACTACAATAAACTTTTTACTTAATTGATCAATGTTAGCATCAATTAATGTACCATAGATGCAGCTAGATTCAAGCCATTATATCAAATGTGTACTGACCCTAAGCAAGATCCTGTGATTTGCTTTTTGTTTTTATTTTAAAGGTAAAGAAAATATATGTTGAATCCCCTTGCTTTGCCAAGACTATAAACTCCCCGAAGACAAAAATCCTATTCTGTATATACTTCTTATGGCCTCTAGTGCCTGGCCCCACTCTGCACATAGTGGGTGCTCAGTAAGTACCTGATAAGTGAATAATGGCTATGATGCACCCAGGAGAGTGCAGTGGGGCTTCCTTCTTTCAGTAGGGAGGCTGTGTAGTTAAGGACCATAGCAGCCATCTCCCCAATTTTTTCTTTTTAACTTTTTGGGAAATTTTCTCCACTGATCCAGTCGATATCATCTGTTATTTCATCGTCACTAACACAGAGGTTCACTCAATTGTTTATATACCTGGTTATTTAAAGTTCTTTATATCATATATAATAATAATAATTTTAGGTAACTAAGTTATAGTGAGCCAAAGGTTACTTTTGTCATCATCTCTCCCTTCACGCCCCAGTACTATATTTTACTTCTATTAAATTGTTTTGAGGATTGAATTTGTACTGGAGTCTTTTTTTATCCAACTTTCTATTGTAGAAAATTTCAAATATATACATAAATAGATGAGTATAATGAATTCCCTATCATCCAGCTTCATTAACTGTCAATTTATCCTTGATCTTGTTTTAGCTATCAGCCCACTACTCCACCGCCACATATATGCACTGGAGAATTTTGAAACAAATTCCAGATGTTTTATTTCATATGCTAGAGTCTTTTGATGAAGGGGAATTTACTTGCAAGAAAAGCGTGCTGTTTCTTAAAACAGGATACTAAGCCATATAATTTCCCCCCAAGTTTCCTTAATGTTTAACTTTTAATGCAATTCTGTGCATAAGAAATATTAAAAACTAGTAAGGTTAATGTTAGCCTAAGACTTAAAATCGCAGTAAGATTTAATGTAGATAAAATCATCAGAATGCTGGGTGATGGTTACACGTGCTCCAGGACCTGCTCCCTCAGGACTGTGTCTGGCAGCAAAGCCTACCCCTAGCTCTTCACCAATCAAATGGCTTTATTCTCCTCACTAAGATGTAGGTTCTCTGGTAAGGGTTAGCGAAGGTACAGATATTAGGGGATCCAGGAGCAGGTGGTCCTAGCTCAGACTCATTGCCCCACCCTCCAGGCATCATTTATCTGTAGGAAGGCATCTGTTTCACGGGTGCCTACCGAATCAGCACGTAGGAAAACAATTTGCTTGTCTTCAGTCTGCTTACTCCTGGGCACGTGCTGGGAACAGTGTTCAGAAACTTTGCGAACATGGGACAGATTCATTTGTACATACTATAAAAACTATTCAGAGGATAGATAATATTCAGGAATGGGTCCTCTGAGAAGACCATAGCATTGTTTTATAGATTTTAGTTTGTGAATTGTCCTTCACTGTCTGTCTCTAGCTGCTTATGTTGTGTCTCAGTGTCCAGACATCAGAAGACGTGTCAGACTTGTGTGGCTCAGTAGCCTCAGTGCCCAGCCAGGGGTGGGCGTATCGTGGGCCCTCATAAACATTTGTTGAATGAATAAATGGAAAATGAAAGAATGAGTGAATGAAAAAATAAATACTTGAATGAATAAACGGTTGAGTAAAAACAGTGGTCCTCAAAAAACAGATGATGTGAACTACATTTGCTTATAAGCTTTCTACCAAAGGTATACATACTTTCTGAAGGTTTATTAGCAGAAGTTTGGAATTATCATTATGGAATGACTTTTCTACATAGTTAGCTCTAGCTTACTGCTGCATTGTTATTTAGTTACATGCTACCAAACACTGTGTATTTTGTATAGACCAAGCACACTTATTGCTCTGCAGTTGCATGGGAAGTCTAAATATGCTAGAGGAGTTTTCCCATATTGAACTGTAACAGGGGGCTGAATTATGCTTGCAGATATGCCACTATCTTTTTGTGAGAGGCCCCAAGTTGCTTTTTTCCCCCCATTCGTTCAACAGTATTCATTGAGCCAGGCGATGTTCTAAGCTCAGGGAATCAATAATGACCTAAACAGGTAAAGTCCTAGGGATTTAGGTCCTTCCCAAGTTTCTTTTTCACTTAGTTTATCACACAGCACCCAGAGTGCTGATGTATATTGTCTGGCATGCTTCCAGCTTTACAGTGCAGGAACAATCCAGGCTACGGTTATTCTTTGTATTGATTTCCTATTGCTGTTGTAACAAATTAGCACAAGCCTAGTGACTTGAAATGACACCCATTTATTATCTGACATTCCTTTGAGTCAGATGTCCAGGTTTTTGTTGGTTTCTTGGCTCCAGGTCTCACAAGACCAGGATCAAGGTGTTGGTCGAATGGGCTCTTATCTGGAGGCTCTGGGAAGGATCTGCTTCTAAGGTCATGCAGGCTGTTGGCAGAATCCAGTCCTTGTGGTTGTAAGGACTGAGGTCCCTGTTTCCTTGCTGGCTGTCAGCTGGGAGCCATTCTTAGCTCTGGAGGCTTCTTTCCAGTTCTCGCATGTGGCTCTACCTCTCAGAGCTGTCAACAGCGCATTGAAGCCTTCTCTCTCTTGGCATCTCTGACTTCCCCTTCTACCACTTGTATCTCTTCCTTCCTTTTCTTCCACATCTCTTTGACTCAGCTGGAGAGGTGTCTCTGCTTTTAGGGCTCATGTGATTAGATTGGATCGCCCCAGATAATCCAGGATAATCCTCCTATTTTAAGTCTTTAGTTATATCTGCGGAGCCCCTTTTGCCACATGACATGACAACTCATGGGTTCCAGGGAGTAGGGTGTGTGTGTCTTTGGGGGGCTGTTGTGCCTTCCACACTGACCCAGTGACAGCGTTTTCTCCACCTGACACACAGCCGCCCCTGGTTGACAAGTCCTCAGAGGCTGAGAAATCTGAATGGTTTGTTAGCCTCTTGGAACGGTCTTATCTCTGCTGTGTCACTGCTCTCCTTTCTTCTGTCAGCGTGTCTGCCTCTGGCTGCTCTTGTGGTCACTTCTCATTGCTTACGCCTCTCATCTTCCACCTGTTGCTGCTGTCCCTGCTGTCTGCCATTTTCTCCTTTCCTCTGCCTGCTTTTCTTTTCACTTCTCTATTCCTCAGAAGCTTGTTTTTTGTTTTTTGTTTTTTTAATAGCTAACGACAATCACTGTGAACATTCTCTTCTGGTTAATGGAGCAACTCTGATTCTTTCTTGACTATTTTTTTTCTGACTTTTTCAGAGTTAGAGCTTAGCTGCCCTTGCCTACCCGTCGCTAACCAGCTGACCATAAGCCTTTGATGTTTAGTGCTAACGTGAATATTTAAAGTTGCTGACGGATAGGGAGATAAGGGAAGCATCACTGTACCTTTGCTTTGGTCAAGAACAAATTCCTCTTGCTATAGACATTATCCCCCCACTTAAGCTTTCAGATACAGTGAACAAATAAAAAATTTACGTGGTGGAAGGGTAAGTTGTATAATGTGCTACTTGTGTTGTGTAATGGCTTTGTGTGTTACATTTAGCCAATGAAAAGAGAAAAAAAAATTTTTTAAGTCTAGAAACTCAGAACCATATGTTTCTTCACATATTTCTGCCCCAAAGTCATCATTTTTAATGGTAGACTAGCATGCCATTGTATGAATCTGCCATTGCTTATTTAATAAATTTTCTACTGCTGGACATTTAGGTTCCTGGAAGTGCAATTATTGGGTTAAAGCATATGTACGTTTCTGATGCTTTTGACATCCACATTGCTTTCTAGAAAATTCGTACATTCTCTTAAGCAGATTTTGACACTGTGCATTTTCCTGTTCCTTCAGTAAATTTTACAGTTTGATGCCATGAATCATACTCAAAATATCGTAAACCCCAAAGCATATTTACATTCATGTTATTATTTTAAAGGTTCTCATCCTCAGGAGTTGAAGATTGATATTTTTCCCTTGAAAACGGCATTTACACTTCATAGAAAATTTATAGAGAAGCTGCAAAGGAATAGAATTTAGGTTTCAGTCATATTGATGCATATTTCTTTTTATAAAAACATTAAAAAGAAAAAAGAATTTTAGATATCCTTAATTTGATGTTGAGGAAACTTGAGGCCTAGCACCATGACTTAATGTTTTTACTTTATTTTATTTTATTTATTTTTGGCTGTGTTGGGTCTTCGTTGCTGCGCACAGGCTTTCTCTAGTTGGGGCAAGCAGGGGCTACTCTTCATTGTGGTGCGCGGGCTTCTCATTGCGGTGGCTTCTCTTGTTGCGGAGGACAGGCTCTAGGCACACAGGCTTCAGTAGTTGCAGTGCGTGGGCTTAGCACTTGTGGCGCATGGGCTTAGTTGCTCTGCGGCATGTGGGATCTTCCCAGACCAGGGATCGAACCCATGTCCCCTGCATTGGCAGGCGGATTCTAAGCCACTGCACCACCAGGGCAGTCCCTGACTTAATGTTTAAAAAGAAGGTTGGCTCAAAGGCATCTAATGGTTATTAATTACAGACTCACAGTCTTTACATTTTAATTGTTGCTATATACATTTATTTTGCATGGAATGAGGAAAATGGTTTTTGTTCTTTAATATTAGGTGTGTTTAAATTATTATACATTTGTGTTTTTCTGTAAAGGGGAAAAGCCTCCATCATATCCAGAATGATCATTTCCAGAATGATGGAATTGGTAAGTGGAAAAATTAGCCCTATGAAAACTTGCTTTTATGATGTAAGACATTTATTCCAAATTTCATCATTTAGAAAGAGGAGGATGGAGAGGGACACACACACACACACTGACACTTTGGAGCTCATGTAACTCTTTTATTCAACACATCTGTTCTTGTGAATGCTTTGGTATGTCATTTCTGAAAAGAGGTGATTTTGTAGGTACCAAGGTACATATATATAGAACTTTTGAGGATGAGCATTTAAGCCTCCTATGCAACATAAGTTTTGGGAATATATTTATATCCTACAAATGTTGGTTATACAGATTTTCAAGATAAAGTTTATTTAAGTGATTTAAAATGTTGCAGAATTATGCTTTTAAAACAGAATTATTGTTTTTAAAACAATAATTGCTTAACTGTTTTGTATGTGGCTGTGCTACAGTCACAACTCAAAACTTTATTCTGAAGAATTGTTTATGTTTTCTAGTCTCAGGAGAATGTTTACTATATGGTTTTCTCTCTTGAAGGACACATCTCCAGCTCCTTGCAAGACATTTAAAATTATGCTAGTTTTTACAAGGAATACTTTGTATATCTCAAGCTAATTTTAGGGAATATGGTAAAGTGATTGTTTTTTTTAATATGATCTACTCTTTCACACTGATAACTCTTTGAATATAAGATACCTTATGGCAAAGCTGGGGAATGTGTTTTGTGGTTGGATGATTTTAATTATTTTTGTCTACATGAATATGTACAGCTATTGAGTGCATCCTTTCTCTATTTGTTTTTCAGTTCAGCCCAATCCTTCTGTGCTTATTGGCAACCCTATTAGAGCATATACCCCTCCACCTCCTCTTGGACCTCACCCAAATTTGGGGAAATCTCCAAGCCCTGTTCAAAGAATAGATCCTCACACTGGGACAAGTATTCTTTATGTACCTGCCGTCTATGGAGGGAATGTAGTTATGTCCGTGCCTTTACCTGTAAGTAGATGTTTAAGATACTCCCTATTGAATGAATAAGATAAAATAGGCTTCACTAAATTAGTGACTATCCCAAATAGTGTTCTACTAATCTGTCTCTCTCTTTTCTTTTTTTTTTTTTTTTTTGTTTTTTTTTTTTTTAACTTTTTATTTTATACTAGAGTATTGTATAGTTGATTAACAATGTTGTGTTAGTTTCAGGTGTACAGCAAAGTGAATCTGTTATACATATACATGTATCCTTTTTTTTTTTTTTTTTTTTTTTTTTTGGTTTTCAATGTCTGTAAGCTTCTTTCATTCAAAGCAGCTCTTATGACCAAAGAAATGTGAATTGTTGCTGAAAATTTGTTACTATTTTGTCAGTGGCTATGAAGAAATCTGTAAATTGGGTGTTTTGATTGAAAAGCCTTTGTATTGTCTTAAGTATTTTTACTGGGGAAAATTGGACTAAAAGTTAACAGAGCTAGTAAATTGGACTCTTGTTTTGTAAAGTGATGTTTTATTTTATCTTTTGCTTTTTCACTCTTATATAATTCACTAACCCTAAGAAATACAGTTCTTTGGAGGAGGGGAAAAGGTTTGGATTAGCCTAGCTCCCTTGGATCTAAATTTATCTGAGAAATTCCACACCTTATGAAATCCTACTGGCACTTAAAAACATTTCTAAGACTATAGATTTTTAGAGGGCTTCCATCTTATGTTAAAACTCATTTTTCTTTTCTTTAAGATTTTTGAGTATTTTGGTAATTTTAAAAATTTGCTGTTTACTAATATTTCCAAATTCAGGAATTTTAGCCTAGAAAATAGTTCTTTCATTTAAGATAAGTACTGTAGTTTCAGGTAGAGGTGATCATTTTCAAGGATCTTTGGCACCCCTGCCTACACCCCCAAAATGCAAAAACGCCTAGCTGCCAACATTTTTCAGCCATGTTGGTCATGGTGGTTCACAATCCTGGCAGCCAGTGAGAATAACTGTCAATAAGAAATATGTCATTTATGTCAACTCCCCGTAGACTTTCCATTTTAGCTGAGTTATTTCTTCCCAGACAGCCTGGCAACATTATACATCATCTGCTTTAAATAGTAAGTCCCTTGGGATTTATATTTCATTTTACTAGGTCAAAGAGACTTTTAAAGATTTCTAAGAGTCTGAATTTAATAGTTGTATTATAATAAAATAATAGGGGTGGTAGCTCAGATGTCATTGTGTTTATTCATTTTATATTAATATGCAGAGATTATATATTTTGACACACCTAAAGAAATTTTCTGTTTCTGTGGTTTAATCAGAAGCATTAATTAAATTTATGACCTGTTTGAATTTTGCCTACAGTAAATGAACATTAAATGATTTGGTTATTCATATAAAATAGTAATGCATATTTTTTGAGTTGAGACTCCTTAGACTGAATTTTTTCTTAAATTTTTTCCCTGTTCTCTTACTCAAGTTTATCAAACTGTATATCTATGCAGTTATGACTTTAAAAGACAGTTTTCATGGTAATCAGTGACATATATGCATTCATGCTGAGGGAAAATGATTCAAGACTATAAAATGATTTGACGCCTCAAGGAATAATTACCAATTTTAAGTCCTTGATTTCTTCCTAACCTAGTGTGTAAGGGAAATGGTCAGTTTCCCTTACATACTAAAGATTCAAGGAGCTTTTTTTTTTTTTTTTTCCGCCAGTTGAGATATAGCAGTCATTCTACCAGTTGGTACTATTAGCATTCATTTTGTAGTTATTCATTTTGATAAAATTAACATCTCTGTGTGTGTTTGCTCTTTCCTAATTAATAGCACTATAGCAGTTTGCCTTTCAAAATGTACTGAAAGCAATTATTTTATTTCTTGTAATAACCTAGGTACCATGGACAGGATACCAGGGTAGGTTTGCAGTTGATCCTCGAATCATTACACACCAGGCAGCCATGGCCTACAATATGAACCTCTTACAGACACATGGGCGGGGGTCTCCTATACCTTATGGCCTTGGGCATCACCCACCTGTCAGCATAGGGCAGACGCAAAACCAGCATCAGGAGAAGGACCAACACGAGCAGAGTCGAAACGGTGAGTTGCTGCTGTTCTCGTGCCCCTAAACTGACGGCGCACCAGGTTGTGAGTTGCTGTGCTGTTCTCGTGCTCCTAGACTGACGACGTGCCAGGTTGTATCAACGCATAAGGTTCCTTTAACAGTGAGAGTGTTAACTTGTTCATAGATTATAAGCCTTTTCGAGGAGGAATCTGATGTAAAAACTGTGGATCCTCTCTCCAGAAGATACAGATATGTGCACAGATACAAAACTTACATGTAGCCTACCACTTAACGATTGATGGTGTCAATTTCCTGGAAAAATGTTAATATTTAGATTTTTTTTTAATGGTAGTCATTTAAAATTGAGACAGAAAACCCAATCCTGTTAAACATTTTTGTTGACCCAAAATATTTTTGTAGCATACTAAACATTAATGCTACTGTGGCAATAGTTTATTTAAAGTAGTTATTTCTTATGCAAATCGTAGTCTCTTGTCTACTAGAATTATAAATAAGGAAAAATTACCCTGTGTAATTTTTAAAGTCAGGTTTATTGAGGTATAATTTATATAGAGTAAAATCCACCCTTTTAGAATGTAGTTTGATGTGTTTTGACAAATATGCAGAGCTGTTCACCACCACCAGTATCAAGATTCAGGGTGTTTCCATTTCAAACAACTCCCTCCTGTCCCTTTGCAGTCACTTTCCTCCTCCAGCCCCAGCCCTGGGCAACCACTGATCTGACTTTTGTGCCTATACTTTGGTCTTTTCTCTAGTTTGTCATGTAAATGGAATCATAGTGTCTGGCTTCATTCACTTAGCTTAATGCTTTTGAGATTTATTTGTGTTGTCTGTGTCAGTTGTTTGTTCCTTTTTGCTGTTGATTAGTATTCCCTTATATGGATGGACCACAGTGTTTTTTTATCTCTCCATCAGTTGTTTTTATCTATCCTTAATTATTTCTAATTTTTGGCTCTTATGAGTAAAGCTGCTATGAACATACGTATTGAAGATATTTTCATTTCTCTTCCCTGTAAATACCCAGGATTGAGCTTGTTGAGCACATTTGTTAACTTTATAAGAAACTGCCATACTGTTTTCCAAAGTGGCCAAACCATTTTTCATTTCTGGTATGTGTGAGATTTCCAGTTGCTCCACATTCTCGTTAGTACTTGGTATTGTCAGTCTTTTTAATTTTACCCTTGCTTATGGGTATCTGATAGTATCTGATTGTTGTATTAATTTGCATGTTCCTAATGACTAATGATGTTGAGTATCTTTTCATTGGGCTTATTTGCCACCTGTACATCTTTGATGAAGTGTCTATTTGTATCTTTTGTCCACTTTTTTATTGGTTTGTCTTACAAAGTTAAATGAGTTCTTTATACGTTCTGAATACAAATCTTTAATTAGATATATGTTCTGAAAATATTTTCTCCCAGGATATGGCTTGCCTTTTGACTTTCTGAACAGTATCTTTCAAAGAATAAAAGTTTCCCTTTTTGATGAAGTCCAGTTTATCCAATTTTTTCTTCTTTGGGTCATGTTTTTGGTGTTATGTCAATTTTTTTTTGCCTAATCCAAGATCACAAAGATCTTCCGTGTTTTTTTCTAGACGTTTCATAGTCTTAGCTCTTATATTAGGTCTCCTTTGAGTTAATTTTTATGTGGTGTGAGGTAAGAATTGAAGGGTTTTTTTGTTCTCATTTTGTTTTGCTTTTACATATATGTATGCTCAGTTGTTCTAACACCGTTTGTTGAAAATACTCTCCTTCCTCCATTAAGATGACTTGGTACCTTTGTTGAAAATCAGTTTACTGCCTATGTGAAGTCTCTGTCATCTTCTATTGATGCATATGTTTGTTCATGCCAAATATACTGTCTTGATGACTGTAGCTTCATAAAAGTCTTCAAATCAGGTAGTATGAGTCCTCCAACTTTGTTTTTCTTTTTCAAAATTGTGTTTTCCAGGTCCTTTGCATTTCCACATACATTTTAGAATCAGCTCGTGAGTTTCTACCAAAAAAAGCCTGCTGGGATTTTGATTGGGATTGTGCGGAATCTGTAGGTCAATTTGGGGGAGAGCTGACATCTTAATATTTAGTCTTCTGTTATATGAACGTGGTGTCTCTCTCTTCTTTAAGGTCTTTACTTTCAGCCTTTTAAAAAAAAGAGTTTTCAGAATACAACTCTTGCACTTATTTTGTTAAGGCGAAAGCTTAGATTGATAGAGGTATCTTAGTGTTAGAATTTTCCTCCTCAGTAGTGCATCCCACAAAATTCCAGTGTTCTATTTTTATTTCATTCAGTTCAGTACACTTTCTAGTTTCTCTTAAAATTAGGTCCATGGATTATTTAGAAAGGTGAGTTTGGGTGAGTTATTGGGGATTTTCTAAGAATTTTTCTGTTAACTGATTCCTAGTTTTAATTCCATTGTGGTAAGGGAACATATTTTGCATGACTTGAATCCTTTTGAATTTATTGAGATTTCTTTTATGGCTCAGGATACGGTCTATCTTTATAAATGTTCCACATACATTTGAGAAGAATGGAGTGCTCTAGTGCTATAGGTCAAGTTGGTTGATACGATTGTTCAGGTCTACTTTATCTTTGCTGATTTTCTGTCTACGTTGAAAAAAAAAGAATATTGAGTTCTCCAAATATAATTGGTATTTATCTACTTTTCCTTTAAGTTTTAACATTTAATTTATTTTTTATACAGCAGGTTCTTATTAGTCATCAATTTCATACACATCAGTGTATACATGTCAATCCCAATCACCCAATTCATCACACCACCATCCCCCACCGCCACTTTCCCCCCTTGGTGTCCATACGTTTGTTCTCTGCATCTGTGTCTCTATTTCTGCCCTGCAAACCGGTTCATCTGTACCATTTTTCTACATTCCACATATATGCGTTCATATACGATATTTGTTTTTCTCTTTCTGACTTACTTCACTCTTTATGACAGTCTCTAGATCCACCCACGTCTCTACCAGTGACCCAGTTTCATTCCTTTTTATGGCTGAGTAATATCCCATTGCATACATGTACTACATCTTCTTCATCCATTCGTCTGTCGATGGGCGTTTAGGTTGCTTCCATGACCTGGCTATTGTTAATAGTGCTGCAGTGAACATTGGGGTGCATGCGTCTCTTTGAATTATCGTTTTCTCTGGGTATATGCTCAGTAGTGGGATTGCTGGGTCATATGGTAATTCTATTTTTAGTTGTTTTTTTTTTTTGAGGTACGCAGGCCTCTCACTGCTGTGGCCACTCCCGTTGCAGAGAACAGGCTCCGGACGTGCAGGCTCAGTGGCCATGGCTCATGGGCCCAGCTGCTCCGTGGCATGTGGGATCTTCCCGGACTGGGGCACGAACCCGTGTCCCCTGCATCGGCAGGTGGACTCTCAACCACTGTGCCACCAGGGAAGCCCTGTTTTTAGTTTTTTAAGGAACCTTCATACTGTTCTCCATAGTGGCTGTATCAATTTGCATTCCCACCAACAGTGCAAGAGGGTTCCCTTTTCTCCACACCCTCTCCAGCATTTGTGGTTTGTAGATTTTCTGATGAGGCCCATTCTAACCGGTGTGAGGTGATACCTCATTGTAGTTTTGACTTGCATTTCTCTAATAATTAGTGATGTTGAGGAGCTTTTCATGTGCTTCTTGGCCATCTGTGTGTCTTCTTTGGAGAAATGTCTATTTAGGTCTTCTGCCCATCTCTTGATTGGGTTGTTTGTTTTTTTAATATTGAGCTGCATGAGCTGTTTACATATTTTGGAGATTAATCCTTTGTCTGTTGATTCCTTTGCAAGTATTTTCTCCCATTCTGAGGGCTGTCTTTTCGTCTTGTTTGTAGTTTCCTTTGCTGTTCAAAAGCTTTTAAGTTTCATTAGGTCCCATTTTTTAATTTTTGTTTTTATTTCCATTACTCTAGGAGGTAGATCTCAAAAAAGATCTTGCTGTGATTTATGTCAGAGTGTTCTGCCTATGTCTTCCTCTAAGAGTTTTGTAGTGTCTGGTCTTACATTTAGGTCTCTAATCCATTTTGAGTTAATTTTTGTGTATGGTGTCAGGGAGTGTTCTAATTTCATTCTTTTACCTGCAGCTGTCCAGTTTTCCCAGTACCACTTATTGAAGAGACTGTCTTTTCTCCATTGTATATCCTTGCCTCCTTTGTCATAGATTAGTTGACCATAGGTGCGTGGGTTTATCTCTGGGCTTTCTATCCTGTTCCATTGAGCTATATTTCTGGTTTTGTGCCAGTACCATACTGTCTTGATTACTGTAGCTTTGTAGTATAGTCTGAAGTCAGGGAGTCTGATTCCTCCAGCTCCGTTTTTTTACCTCAAGACTGCTTTGGCTATTCAGGGTCTTTTGTGTCTCCCTACAAATTTTAAGACTTTCTGCTCTAGTTCTGTAAAAAAATGCCACTGGTGATTTGATAGGGATTGCATTGAATCTGTAGATTGCTTTGGGTATTATAGTCATTTTTACAGTATCGATTCTTCCAACCCAAGAGCATGGTATATCTCTCCATCTGTTTGTGTCATCTTTGATTTCTTTCATCAGTGTCTTACAGTTTTCTGAGTACAGGTCTTTTACCTCCTTAGGTAGGTTTATTCCTGGGTATTTTGTTCTTTTTGTTTCAGTGGTGAATGGGATTGTTCCCTTAATTTCTCTTTCTGATCTTTCGTTGTTGGTGTATAGGAATGCAAGCAATTTCTGTGCATTAGTTTTGTATCCTGCAACTTTACCAAATTCATTGATTAGCTCTAGTAGTTTTCTGGTGGCATCTTTAGGATTCTCTGTGTATAGTATCATGTCATCTGCAAACAGTGACTGTTTTACTTCTTCTTTTGCAATTTGTATTCCTTTTATTTCTTTTTCTTCTCTGATTGCCGTGGCTAGCACTTCCGAAACGATGTTGAATAATAGTGGTGAGGGTGGACATCCTTGTCACGTTCATTATCTTAGAGGAAATGCTTTCAGTTTTTCACCATTGAGAATGATGTTTGCTGTGGGTTTG